TTGGCCAGGCACAGTGGCTCACACCTGTAATCAGGCTGGTCTTTAACTCCTGATCTCAAATGATCCCCTCTCCTAGGGAGGCCAAGGCAGGCAAATCACTTGAGGTCAGGAATCCAAGATCAACCTGGCTAACATAGTAAAACCCGTCTCAGGAGGCAAAGGTAGGTGGATCACTTGAGGTCAGAAGTTCAAGACCAATCTGGCCACCGTGGTGAAACCCTGTCTCAGGAGGCTCAGGCAGGCAGATCACTTGAGGTCAGGAGTTCAAGACTAGCCTGGCCAACATGGCAAAACCCCATCTCAGGAGGTGGCTGAGGTAGGTGGATCACTTGAGGTCAGGAGTTTGGGACCAGCCTGGCCAACATGGTGAAACCCTACGCTACTAAAAATGCAAAAATTAGCAAGGTGTGGTGGCCTGTAGTCCCAGCTACTCAGGAGGCTGAGGTGGGAGGATCACTTGATCCTGGGAGGTGGAGATTGCAGTGAGCTGAGATCATGCCACTGCACTCCAGTCTAGGCGACTCCATCACAGGAAAAGAAAAAAACTAGGGCTTTCTGGCTTTTTTGTGCAGCAGGAAGTTGTCTGGCAAGTAATACCAATCAATCATCTTTGAGTTTCAGAACAAAATTAAAGGGATCCATTGGTATACTATACTGGAAAATGTAGAGAAAATTATGTAATCCTACAAAACTGTGAAAGGCATTGACACTTCCACTTACTTCCCACATGCGGATCATATATTTGGGGTATTATCTATAAAAGGAATCTGCAGACTTTTTCTGTAAAGGGCCAGATAGTAAATATTTGCAGCTATTTGGACATAGGTCTCTGTTGTACCCATTTAACTCTGCCTTTGTAGTATACAAGCAACCATAGACAATATGCTGGATTGGGCATGGCTGTATTCCAACAAAACTTCATTTACTAAAATAGGCAGCCAGATTTTACCCCAAGACTACAGTTAGCACATACCTGGCCAAAAGCTTTACTACTTTAAGTGTCATCTGAAGACCAGTAGCATCACCATCACCTGGAAAGTTGTTAGGAATGCAGAATCTCAGGCCCCAGTCCCAGACTTAGTGGACCAAAATCTGCATTTGAATAAAATCCCTGATGATTCATATATACATTAAAGTTTGAGAAACACTAATCTGTAGTTTTAAATTTTAGACCAGTTTTCTCTGTTGTCAGTTTATTTAACTAGCGTGCCTTAATTTGTCTTAACAATCCATGACATCAATTTAAAAAGCAAATCAGGTTCAAAACCTGTATATGTCAAATATTTATTACTGTAGGATTATTTACTTTGAATCACTGATGAAACAATTTTGCATTAGTATGGAATTTCAAAATTGACTTTAGGAGGTAGGTATTAATTGGAGATTCTTTGATGCCATTGAAGGTAGATTTAAAACATTGTCTCCAATGAACTATTCATCTAAAAATATAAATAGAATGCATAAGAAGAAGACGTTTTAGGAATTAACAAAGAAACCATAAAGCTTTCATTTATCTAGCTTCAGTATTTCAACTGGGAATCATTTGTTCTGGAAGTGTTTTTATATTAATGGTTTGGAAAAGACCTCATAGTTGTGAAATTGGTTAAAAATGAATAGTCTTCTGGAGGGGTTGTTTGGTATTCATTAGTATGGTGTTTGCAGCCCCTGAGTAGATTTGGATTTATAAGGCACAAGAATAGCACTGAGGTTTATAGGGCATAAGTGCATTTGAAAAAAAATGTGCTGTGATAGACAATAATCCACATGATAAAAGTTCTCTGATGAATAACTGCATATACTATACTTTCTCCACATTTGTACCTTGTTGATTAAAAAGCTATATGTGGCTGGGTGTGGTAGCTAATGTCTGTAATCTCACTACTTTAGGAGGCCAAGATAGGTGGATCACATGAGCCCAGGAATTCAAGACCAGCCTAGCCAACTTGATGAATCCCTGTCTCTACTAAAAAATACAAAAATTAGCTGGGCATGGTGGTGCACGACTGTAATCCCAGCTACTAGGATGACTGGAGGTGCAAGAATTGCTTGAACCTGGGAGGTGGAGGTTGCAGTGAGCCGAGATTGTCCAGCCTGGGCAATGGAGCAAGACCCTGTCTCAAAAAAAAAAAAAAAAAAAAAAATGTTGCATGTGTTACACATCACACATATATTATGTTAATATTAACCAACCACAAATTAAGAACATTTACACATTAATGGAATTACACTTTTCAGGCAATATTAAAGAGCCTGGTGGCTGAACACAGTGGCTCACACCTGCAATTCCAGCACTTTGGGAGGCTGAGGTGGGCAGATCACTTGAAGTCAGAAGTTGGAGACCAGCCTGGCCAACATGGTGAAACCCCATCTCTACTAAAAACAAACAAAATAATTAGCCAGGCATGGTGGCACATGCCTATAATCTCAGCTACTCAGGAGGTTGAGGCAGGAGAATCACTTGAATCTAGAAGGCAGAGGTTACAGTAAACTGAGATTGCACCACTGCACTCCAGCCTGGACAACAGAGCTAGACTCAAACTTAAAAAACAAATAAATAAAAATAAATGAAGAGCCTGGTGACTAAACTGCAGTCACAGCTACCTCTTATCTTAACAATTATTTAATGACTATTTACTGAGCCCCTGTTATATTCCAGACAACGTGCTAGGTCTTGGGACAGCAACAAAGAAGATAACCATGGCCCTAGCCTTCATGTTGTGAATAAGTAATGTACATTTTTCCTACTGCTCATTTTGTTCCTTTTTAAATAATATTATGAAATTAGTATAAGCACAAAAAATTTTAGAAAATCTGTTTCACTACCCTAACATAACACAGCTCTCACTTTTGGTGTTCCTGTCCAGTCTGTCTTCACGCTGTCATAGTTATATGCAGTTTTGTTTTATTTCCTTTTTTTAGTTAGTGTGTGTGTGTGTGTGTGTGTGTGTGTGTGTGTGTGTGTGTGAAATGTGTTAAACACACAGAATACTGAATATAATACATATAAACATTGAAAGAAAAAAGATAAAATGAATACCCACGTATCGTCTCTGACATTAAGTTATAGAACATTGCCTGAACTTGGAATCTCTGAGTTTCCCTCTCATTTGTAGTCCTCTACTGTGTCCTCCATAAAACAATTTACTTGACTTTTGTGTTAATTATCCCTCTACTTTTAGCTATAGTTTTACCACTTTTTTATGCTTCATAATGATGTTTAGGAAAAAATGAATAGCTAACACAAGCTTAGCATAAGGAAAAGACCGTACTGCCATTCGTAGAAAGACAAGCTAAACATTTGCGTCTCTGGCTTTAGCTTTTTATAAGTTACTGAGAAAGTTTAGAACAGCCGTTTCTGGTGAAATTAGAAGGCAAAGTTGTGAGTCCTGTAAGATACACATCCCAGAGCATTTGGTGTGAGCCAGCTACAGGACATCAAGCAGGAATGTGGGCTGGGGGAGTGAGCTGCTCAGTATTTTCAGTTTCAAAGCAAACTGACCTACCTCTAACTCTCAGGAATAGATTGAAGTCAGCAGGCATCTGTGGGGGAAATAAGCGTCTTCAGCCAATCGAGACAGCAGAACATGGAGAGGAGAATAAGAAATTCACCAGCAGATAGTCAACACAATCCAAATACAGATAAACTTGGGTCGGTTTCACTAGGCTGTTCTATCCTCAGGTTTGAAAAGATGATAAAATGGCGTCATGAAACATGTGGATGACAGTCTTCAGTATGTCTTTCTCTTGAATCACATCATTCTAATCTGGACCAGGATTTCCTTTAGCTTTCTCTTTGGCTAAATCTGTTTACTGTATCTGTTTCTTCTTTCTTGGTTGCCTCTCATTTTTTAGAACACATCCTCCTTTAATTTCTCAGAAAGGTCTGTGAGAAGCAAATGTGAAAATGTGCATCTGAAATGTCTGTGTTGCCTTCATGTTTGATTGCTGGTTTAGATACAATATGTTACTTGTGGCTGGGCATGGTGGCTCCCGCCTGTAATCCCAGCACTTTGGGAGGCCGAAGCGGGCAGATCACTTGAGGCCAGGAGTTTGAGACCAGCCTGGCCAACATGGAGAAATCTCGTATTTACTAAAAATACAAAAATTAGCCAGGCATGGTGGCACACACCTGTAATCCCAGCTACTCAGGAGGCTGAGGCACAAGAATCACTTGAACCTGGGAGGCAGAGGTTGCAGTGAGCCGAAATTGCGTCACTGCACTCCAGCCTGGGTGACAGAGCAAGACTCTGTCTCAAAAAAAAAAAAAAAAAAGAGAGAATTTGTTGCTTGTAAATAATTTTCTTTTATAATGTTATCTCCTTGCTACCGGGTTCTAGTAAAAAGACTAAAGTCATCCTGATTCCTGATCTTTTGTTGGTGACTTGTTTTGTATGTTTTTCTCTCTGAAATTGTTTAGAATTTTCTCTTTGTCATGTCTTAGTATTGTGACATTGATGTAGGTTTCATTTATCCATTGTGTCTGGGCACTTGGTGGGGCTTTTCAGTGTGACAACTTATGTTTTGAGTTCTCTGAAATTTTCTTAAATTATTTCTTTGATGATTATATTAGGGTTCTCTAGAAGGACAGAACTAATAGGACATATATATATATGGGAGTTTAGTAAGGAGTATTGACTGACTCACACAGTCACAAGGTAGAGTCCCATAATAAGCCATCTGCAAGATGAGGAGCAAGGAAGCCAGTCTGAGTCCCCAAACCTCAAAAGTAGGGAAGCCAGCAGTACAGTCTTCAGTCTGTGGTGGAACATCCAAGAGTCCAAAAGCTGAAGAACTTGGAGTCCAACGTTCGAGGGCAGGAACTATCCAGCACAGGAAAAAGATGGAGACCGAAAAACTAAGCCAGTCTAGTCCTTCCATGTTCCTCTGCCAACTTTTATCCTAGCAGCTGATTAGATGGTGCCCATCAAGATTGATGGTGGGTCTGCCTCTCCCAGCCTACTGACTCCAATGTTAGTCTCCTTTGGCAACACCCTCACAGACACACCCAGGAATAATACTTTGCATCCTTCGGTCCAATCAAGTTGACACTCAGTATTAACCATCACAGTGAATTTTCTTTCTTCCATTTTTTGTTTGTTTTCTCCGAAATCCTGATATGGCCATTGGACTTCCTGGTCTGATATTTTATTTTTCTCTCCTACTTTTGTTTTTCTGTCCTTGTCTGTTTTCTGTGTTTTGGGAAGATTTCCTCACCTTTTATTTTTTAACCCTTCTTTTGACTTTTAATTATCGTTATGTTTTTAAATTTTCTGAATTTTTAAAAAAGCACTCTTGTATATATATAATATCTTCTTATTTCTCTGAAGATAATATTTTTTATTTTTATTTTTTCCCCTCCTTTGAGATTTCTGTTTCCTCCAAGTCTGTTTATTTTGTTCTTTATATTTCTAGTTAGAGGTTTTGTCAGAAATCAGTATTTATTTTCCGTCCACAATTAAGTTTAGGGAAACTAAAACCTGATTTTAAGCTTTAACACTTAGGTGGCCCCTGTGTTTTTCATTGTCTCATAATCTGGATGGGCCATTTGTTGGGAAACTTGGTGTCAGTATCATTAGGTTTTTCCTCTGAGTTTAGTCAAATTGTGTCAGTATCATTAGGTTTTTCCTCTGAGTTTAGTCAAATTTCCCAGAAGAAAAATTTTTTCATCTCATACTTGGTGAGTCAAAAGGAGTTCAAAAAGAGAAGAAGCCTGCATGAGAGAGAGCGTTAATAGTTAACATTTAGTTTATATGGAGTTATTAAATGCCCTTGTGATCTGCCACTTGGTATCCACTCTCTTAGAAGTCCTTGCTATTCACCAGTCTAGAGAATAGACCACCTTGTTTAACTATCCAGAGGCTAAACCTCTAGACTTTGAGGTCCAAGAGAGGATTTACTAACAATAAATTACTAGAGTTGGAGTAACAATAAATTACTAGAGTGGAGTTGGGGGGATGAGTTAGCCATCTAATTGCTTTGCATAGAGATTTTACTCAGTTATTTTTATTTTAGCATTTGTCTGAACCCCTAGATCCAGAGGTACCTAGTCCTGTCAGTTCTTGAGCCTCTTCAGGAATCTGTGCATATTGTAAACTATTGCCTAAGATTCAGCTTACTAGTTAGGAACTCTCAAAAAGTTTTGTTGTGTTTTGTCTACTTTCCTGGTGTCTCTGGGTTTGTCTTTATATGAAGTTAATATTTCAATGGAATTTCGGTAGAAAGTGAAATTAAGATGCATGTGTTCAATTCACCAGCTGAACCTGCAACATCCACTGTCTTTGTATTATTTGTATCATCTTCAAAACCATCTTTTTAAATGACTGTAATAGTCAAGTTTCCTTCTTCAGTTAGCTAAAACCATAGGTTAAAATGCAGGTTGTTCTAATTATTTTTTCACATTGCTTTTCCTTCATTCAATTATTTATTTCCTAAGGTAGATTCTTGGAACAGTAAGTACTAGGCTAAATGGGTAAGAACATCTTAGGGCTCTTGAAAAATATTGCCAGATTTTGCTTTCTCAAAGCGTTGAACCATTTTGCAGTGCCTCTCCAACTCTGCTTTAAGTAAAATATTTAATCTTTCTTACACTTACCTGGTTTTAAGCACAGAACTATTTTCAATAGTTCTCCTGTGCTTAAGATTAAGTATATGTTGTGGTTTTGCTTTGGTCTATGACCTCTTTAGTCTGTTCTCAGGGAATAAGATTTATTGACCCTTCTCATGTCTTGATCATCTACAATTGATTTTGACATAGGAAAGGAGAAAAGGCATGGCTAACATTTACTTTGAGTTTTAACGCCATTTTCCTCGTGCTACTTTTATCTAGTCTAGGAGTTTGAGGGTTTTTTTTTTTAAGCTTCTTCTGACCCTCTTGAATTTATGTTTAGTCATGGGTAGGTTTGCGTTTCCTCTTAAGTATGCTTTTTTTTTTTTTTTTTTAAGATAGAGTCTCACTTTGTTGCTCAGGTACAAGTGCAGTGGTGCAGTCATGGCTTGATATAGCCTTCACCTCCCAGGCTCAAGTGATCCTCCTGCCTCAGCCTCCTTAGTAGCTGGGGCTATGGGTACAAGGCACCGTGCCCAGCGAATTTTTGTGTCTGTTGTAAAGACAGGGCTCCACTCTGTTGCTCCGGCTGTTCTCGAACTCTTGTGCTGAAACAGTCCTCCCAACTTGGCCTCCCAAAGTGCTGGGATTATAGGAATGAGCCACTGTGCCTGGCCAAGAATGCTTATTTTTTTTAATGTGACTAAGTACTTTTTCTTTGTGACTTTATTTTTGACACCCATCTAGAATGAAATATTTTCAGAGAGAGAGAGAATAGTTGTCTACAGATATGCTACATATGGATTAAATTTCCCTTATTTTGTTGATTGTCGTTGTTGTTTTAGGTGGTGCTTCCTACATTTATCCTAGAGAAGCGTTCCTTGCTGGAAATGTATGCAGACTTTATGTCTCATCCAGACCTATTTATAGCCATCACTAATGGAGCCACAGCTGAGGAAAGAATGATTCGCTTTGTTGAGTACTACCTTACCTCATTTCATGAAGGCCGTAAGGGAGCCATTGCTAAAAAACCGTACAATCCTATCATTGGAGAAACATTTCACTGTTCCTGGAAGATGCCAAAAATTGAGGTAGCATCCAGTGTTTTTAGTTCTTCCACCAAGGGAGTCACAAATCATGCTCCTTCATCAGAGGAGTCTTTGAATCACGTGGGATCAGACTGTTATACAGTCAGATTTGTTGCTGAACAGGTTTCTCATCATCCTCCAGTCTCAGGATTTTATGCAGAATGTACAGAGAGGAAGATGTGTGTAAATGCACATGTCTGGACTAAGAGCAAGTTCTTAGGCATGTCAATAGGCGTGACAATGATTGGAGAAGGTAAGTAGAAAAATTATTTATATATATGTATTTTTTTTTTCTCTGAGCAGGAATGAAAGTTTATTTTAAAAGACTTTAGAACAGTAAAGAAAGGAAAGTTCGCTTGGAAGAAACCCAAGCAGGCACATGAAGGTCAAGTGCCTGTTTTATAATTTTTAATATCCAACTACAATCTTAAATTTAGGAACCCTAGATAAATATTAACTCTAAGTTTAAAATGTTACTGCTTTTTCACTCCAGTTCCTAAAGTGTTCTGGAATGCTTCTTGCAGGGGATGGGAGGAGTATATCTATGAACTAATATAAATTCTTTTTAAATTATTTTTTTTTCTGATTTTAAATATTTCTTTTTTGAGATGGAGTCTCGCTGTGTAGCCCAGGCTGGAGTGCATTGGTGTGACCTGGGCTCACTGCAACCTCTACATCCCAGGCTCAAGCAATTCTCCTGCCTCAGTCTCCCAAGTAGCTGGGATTGCAGGTGCCCGCCACCATGCCCAGTTAATTTTTGTATTTTTAGTAGAGACAGGTTTCAGCATGTTGGCTAGGTTGGTCTTGAACTTCTGACCTCTGGTGATCCACCCACCTCGGCCTCCTAAGTAGTGGGATTGCAGGCATGAGCCATCGTGCCTGGTAATTTTAAATATTTCATATCAAATATTTGGAAAACTAGAAAAGTATAAAGGAGAAAATAAAAGCTTCTATAATGCCTACATCCAGATATATATAATTTAATATTTTATACTCTGTGTGCTTATGTTCATACTTTCAGCCTTATAAAATTAGAATTAATAATATGTATAGTTTTGCATCCTGCTTTTTAAATTAAGTATATTCATTTTCTCATGTCATTGATAAAACATTTTAATGACTGCATAATATTCTATGAAGTACATTTTCTATCTTTTATTTAAACATTTCCCTCTACTTTGGACATTGAGGTTGATCCCAAATTTTTATTATTATAAAAACCACAATAAACTCTTCTAGGTAAATCTTTTTAAAAAAATTTTTTTTTGATTTTTTTTTTTTTTTTTTTTTAGAAATAGGGTCTTTCTCTGTTACCCAGGCTGAAGTGCAGTGGCACAGTCATGACTAACTGCAGCCTTGGCCTACTCGGCGTAAGCCATCCTCCTGCCTCAGTCTCCCAAGTAGCTAGGACTACAGGCACATACCACCCATGCTAAGCTAATTTTTTTAATTTTAATTTTTAGAGACAGGGTCTCAATATGTTGCCCAGGCTGATCTTGAACTCCTGGGCTCCAGTGATCCTTTGGCCTCTACCTCCAAGCATTAGTCTATAATCTCAGTACTTTTGGAGATGGAGGCCAGAGGTGCTGTTCATGGAATATTTTAACATATATACTGATAAAATTTAATTCTACTTTATCAGAAGGTTATGAAAAAATAAGTTTTGGAAATACAGTGTTTGCTGGCCAAGAATATGAAACAAAAACACAAATCTTCACAGAAATTATTCAAAAGTTAATGAAAATGTAATGATAGGAAAAAACTACCACTTTATGTTAAAGGAAAGCTCTTATTCAAAGAATACTTTGTTCTGAATGTAAACTTACAGTGTAAGCATGGCATCATTAAGCCTGCGACTCTTAATATTTTGATATTGTGTTATAGTCATTGTGCAGAAAATATCTTCTTTTTCAGTTTTCCCCATTTTTAAGTTCTGTTGTAATATGTCTTACCAATTTCCAAATAATATTTCAAGTTAATTACAACTTTTATAACATTAGAAAGTACTCTCTCTCTGGTTTTTGCTTGGTTTTTGTTTGTTGTTGTTTTTTTTTTTGTGACAAGGTCTAGCTGTCGCCGAGATTGAAGTACAGTAGTGCCATCTTGGCTTACTGTAATCTCTGCCTCCCAAGCTCAGGCCATCCTCCCACCTCAGCTTCCAGAGTAGCTGGGATTGCAGACATGCACCACCATGCCCAACTAATTTTCATATTTTTTGAAGAAACAAGATTTTGCATGTTGCCCAGGCTGTTCTCAAACTTGTGAATTCAAGTGATCCACCCACCTTGGCCTCCCAAAGTTCTGGGATTACAGTTGTGAGCCACCACACCCAGCTGAAATTATTCATATTTTATTAGTTTAAAAAAAAAATGTTTGCCATCTTTGGTTTTAAGCTCCATAACAGTAGCCTTAAGTACTTCATAGATCAATTTACTCATTTTGTAAATAAAAAAAAGCCTGAAGTCTACAGGTGAAGGGACATGTGTAAGGTCATAAAAGTTAAGGAATAGACACATTTAGAACCATATTCTTTGATACTCCCCCAAAGGACAGTAACTCTTATCAGTTCATGTAACCTTAAGAATCTGGAAATGGTAGCCTCTCACTCTACAAGAAAGGAAATACTTCAAGAAGTGAAGAAAAGCCGAGCACAGTGGCTCACACCTGTAATCCCAGCACTTTGCTGGGCTGAGGTGGAAAGATAGCTTGAACCCAGGAGTTGGAGACCAGATTGGGCAACATAATGAGACCCTGTCTCTACAAAAATAAAAATAAAAAAATTAACTGGACGTGGTGGCTTGCTTCTATAATCTCAGGTACTTGGGAGACTGAAGTGGCAGGATCACTTGAGCTCGGGAGATTGAGGCTACAGTGAGCTGTGATCATGCCACTGCACTCCAACCTGCGTGATAGAGGAGGACCTTGTCTCAAATGTAAAAACTTAAAAAAAAGAAATGGAGAAAAGCATTCATATCTTAACTATGCTCTAATTATAAAAGAGGTATGTAAATAATTTTTGATTAAGTGCTGTTATATATTAATGGAATATATTGGAAATTAAATGGTTACTGTTACCCTCAACAGAAAGTATGTAAAAATTAGGAATGGGGCTGGGCATAGTGGCTCACGCCTATAGTCCCAGCACTTTGGGAGGCCCAGGAAGGTGGATTAATTCAGGTCAGGAGTTCAAGACTAGCCTGGCCAACATAGTGAAACCCCATCTCCACTAAAAATACAAAAAAGTAGCTGGGCATGGTGGTGGGCACCTGTAATCCCAGCTACTCAGGAGGCTGAGGAAGGAGAATCACTTGA